ACAAGTTCTTCGAATACCTATAAAATGATAGGTTTCTTTTTTGTGAGTGTAAAACACTTAAATACTCCATTTCGAAATTGAAGATAGTTGTTTCTTGATCCTGTTGAAGGAATTAAATGACACACGTAATGACGTTAGTTGCACATTATAAGTTTGTCCACTGTCTTTTCTCTCAGTTTGTTACCAGTGGTTTGCAGTCACAGTATTCCGCAATGATATAGACCAGCGTTTCTCAACCTTTTCTATACCAGGAAACTGTCGCGAACCACTAAAATGCAAGTATAATGAAAAATCATTATGATTTACATAAAAATATTCTCTCAATTTTTGTGTATTTGTTTTCGTGAAATCCCACGGACCATCAATGTGGTTGTAACGGACCGGTGGTTGAAAAACATTGGTATAGACGATACGTTGCATTCGATTGCTATGATTAATAGACCCTGGTGGGTGACGTATTTCATTGAATAGCTAACCAGAGTAGCAATTATTTTTAATAGATAGACCCCATAATAATGCCCTTTTGAGAACTGGAGAGTGACTTGTTCTTACCCATTATCCTGCAGACCAGTCATGAGGTGATTACATTCCAGCATTAATAGGACTCCTGCAGTCATCTGACTCAATCACGTGATCAGTTGTTGTATATATTTGTGGTCCTCCGGTGAGACAGCGGTAAGTATACGGATTTACAATGCTAAAAACAGGGGCTCGATACCCCTCGGTGGATACAGCAGATAGCCTAATGTGCTTTGCTATAAAAAAAAAACACACATGTCTGTGTACGATTTCTAACAATAACCAAAAAACTTCTTGAAAATGATACATCTGAAATGTGTTTCAACTGTAATGTGTATTACTGAGAGTTGCATATAGTATGCTTCTAACTTAACAAAACTGAAACCGAAATCAAGTTTTTATATCACTGTTATAGAAATAACATCATTACAATAACACGGAATCTTTCATGAAATAATAAAAAGTTCAAGATATCCACGCTATTCGTATCAACAATGGACGTGCCCGACAATATCTTTTTACCTATTATTCAATGATGTATAATTAGTTACGTTATATCAAAACCAAAGACACGAGAATTACGGAAAAATTCTACTTTTAATCACCTATTTATAGCTATGCTATGTAGCTAGTTATGCAACTCACGATTTTCAACATGTCATAGAAATTACTGTAATTTATTACGATCCAAAACTTAATTTCTTTAATTGCAAAGTTTCTTAGGGGAAAAAAAAAGCAATTTTATTTCCTCTGTTTAGGATGTCTTTCGTATCCTAAACTTAAAAATTGGCTCGGTTATTTCTTTCACACATAGATATAACCACCGTTAACCTGCTGGGTTTTACAAGAAGAGAAGCAAAGTTGGCAGAAAGAGTTCGGGAAGTTGAAGAACAAAACCAACTTCTACGACGACAACTGAGGTAACTACTCAAAACATTATGTTACATGTTCGTTTGGTTGCTGTTCTTAGAGTTGTTAAGTAAAATATAGTTTTTATATGATAATCTGGAATGTGTACAGGGATATTTTATGAGCATTTTACCGATTTTATTATTACTATTTTCTTTTGGTGATGATATCTAGGCCTTCTTTTTCATGTTTAGGTTGTCTACACAAGGTCAAGCTTTTGAACTTCCTAACCAACTCATGTGTATTGCTAACCTTCTGTATCTTAGCTGTTACACGTGTTACAAATAAATCAATTTCCTCGGGTTGGTGCACCGTCTAAGTTAACAACTTGAATACGCCATTCGACGGTAAATCAATAACGTGCGGAATGTGATAGTGAACTGTTTCTCAGGCATTATTGTATTTTATTCTTTAATAAATGTACACATAAAATGTTTTAAACGTCTTTTTTTTTTATTTTGCTCAAAATAGTAACAAAGTTTTAGTTTCTTTCTTTATGATTATTATACTCGACTTTTGCAGTTGGTTACGAAATCAATATATTTGTAAATAAGGTAACTTGGAGAACAGATCAATTCTGTTCTTATATCGAAAGCTCTTGATGGTGTATCATGGTCCTTTTGACATAGAAAACGTTCACTCTAATAGTAAAGACATAAAAAACGTGTGGAATAAAACAGTTGTTTAGATTCAAGCATGTGACAATTAAATAGTGATAATGGGGAAGATTTTTGATGACTAAAACGGACCAATTGGCTTAGTAGTTAGCATGCTCGGACTGTGAATCCGTGGGTTCCAAGTTCTCGTCTACTTGCCACAGAAGCGCACTTCGTACTTTGAGGCCGTGGGTGCGCTATAAGAATGACAGTTAAATCCTACTATTTGTTGAGATAAATGTGTTTATTTGTTACTAGAGCAAATCTACACAACGGGTTATCTGCACATCGCATAAAAACGAACCTAAGATTTTGGCATTGAAGGTCGATAAACATACTGTTGACCAACCATAGAATGGTGAGATAAGAGTCTGCAGTGGGTGCTTTAACTAGTTGCATCTTCTCTAGTCTAATTTCAAACTTAGGGATGGTTATGTGCAGATAACAGCCCTTTCTGCAACTTTAAGCAAAAATTCCAAACAATAATGAAAAAAAAAGGGTAATTTGCAAAATTTAGCCAAATGTTACAAGCATGAAAAATTGGTTTATAATCTCATTCAATATTTCGGGGAGCTATCTGTTGTATAATGAAAAACAAAATAAGTTAGAAATCAAATAATACTTAAATATCCTTAATAATGACCAAGAACAGTGGAACGTTGACAGTAAATGCTTATATTTATTTCTAAGTATATTCGACTGAGAAAACGACCATACACAAATCTGTTTCAACAAGTCAGGATTTCCTCTGATATTCCTTCCGGAAATAGCCGGAAATTACATAATATAACACTGTTAACAGTGACACAATTTATAGCTACCTTGTCGCCAGAAAATTCCACTTGTTTTAATCAAACGTCTAACCCTATTACTTAAACTAACATCAATTTGTTATATTGATAAACACTGTGTGATAGAAATATAGATAGATTTACGCAGCAGTAAGACTGATAATAATTTCAATTGAACCATTCTTTACTGACCCTATAAAGATTTTGAACAAAGAAACCTGTATAACAACTGTACCTTGTTTGTTGCAAGCCGTTACCGACGAGGCCATACTACTTAATACTAGAACTCGGCTAGGTTGCAGGCCAGATACTATACTTACAACAGTTGAAATGCTATTTATAAATCGCTATGACTGAAATTATACAGTCTAGTAACTGGAAACTGTAATGAAACAGTAAAGAGTAGAGCGATTTAAGGTATTACCAATCTTATTGTCATGAAATAACACATATATTACTACTGTACTTGTCATGCTATAACAGTTAAGGCGTCCTACACCATAAACAATATTTGCTTTTTCAAAACATACAGGTCTAGATAAGTTAGTTTTGTTAAAACTACCCATTCCGTTGTTTTTGTATACGCTTCGCAAACGAACCGTTTACTAAATTTTAAAGAAGCCAGTTATCTCTTGTAACTGTTGTCAAACATTATACGAATGACTAACCAGATGTAATAATGGAAGTAAGCGCATTACCTACACGACTAGCAAGATGTAATATAGGAAGTAAGTACTTGATCTAAGTTACTGGCTAGATGATACATTGGATGTAACTGCTTTATATAAATGAATAGCCAGACAATATGTTGGAAGTAAGCGCTTCATCTACATGATTAGCCAGAAGTAATATTGAAAGTAAGCGCTTTATATAAATGATCAGCCAGAAGTAATATGGGAAGTAAGCACTTTATTTAAACAACTAATCAGATGATTTATTGGAAGTAAGCGATTTATCTAAATGATTAGCCAGATGTAATATTGGAAGTAAGCGCTTTATCT